GCGGCACCTCCCACTAGGAGCAGACGCAGCACCGACCTCCTCAGCACGAAGGAAGTCAACAGCAGCAGCAGAGGCAACAAAGGGCGCGAGAAGGGAGGCTGAACACCCCTCAAAAAAGGAGGGGAGGGGGGTGCCACGGGAGGCGGCAACAGCGTGGGCACTTGTCTCAGCTTCTAGGAGACGAGTCTCAAACGAGACAAGGGCGAGATCAGTGGGGTCGAGGGAGAGGAAGTGGTCCCTAACGGCGCGGAGAGAGTCAGGGAGGCGAGTCGTGCGGAAGTAGAGAGTGATGTACATCGAGGGCGTGTTCCCAGCCAGAAATGCCGGCTTGAGAGTAGCGTGGTAGCGAGTGTCACTAGAGCGTAGGTAGGCCATAAGATGAGCAACGGTGGGGAAGTCAGACAGCTCAGGAAAGAGATACGGCAGCATGAGACGGCCTAGGGCAGCAGTAGAGGGGGAGGAGTAGTGCTTCACTACAGCGTCATAGAGCGCTTTGGCCGTCTTGAGCTGGCGAAAATGGGGCCTCTGCTCTAGCAGGAGGTGGCTGCGGACAGCAAGCTGTGTGGTGGCGTCACGCGAGAGCCACTATGAACGAGCTACACGGTCAGCCGTCTCATCTGGGGCAGGAAGGGACCACGACGAATGCTCATACAGTGAGACGTCGTCCCTAGTAACGCTCTGCAGGTACAGGTGTAGATCCTCTAGCCAAGATTCAAATTCGATCGGGCGACCCTCCGCGTCAAAGGTAAGCACAGTAACGGTTGCCATAGAGGCAGGAGCAGCAGCAGCGGCAGGTGTATCAGGGGCAGCAGCAGCAGCAGTAGCAGCAGCAAGGGCAGCAGCGGCGGCGGCGGCTGTAGGAAGGGCGGCCGGGGCAGCAGGGCGCAGCTCGCTGAGTAGGGCGGCAATGTAGCAGCAGTGGCGCAGCAATGCAGCAGCGCAGCAGCGGCAGAACAGGCCAGAGCGCAGCAGCGGCAGCAGCGCAGCAGGGCTGGGCACCGCGCGCAGGACAGCGAGCGCGGGCGGCACAGGCAGCGCGCATGCAGGTAGTGTGCGTGGGCGGCGCAGGGCAGCGTGCGGGCAGCGCAGGCAGGGCGCACGCAGGCGGCGCAGGGCAGCGCGCGGGCAATGCGGGCTGCTCGCGCAGCGTGCGGGCAGCGCGCTGGGCAGGGCGGGGCTAACGCGCGGGGCAGGGCAGCGCTAGCGTGCGGGGCAGGGCAGTCACATGCGGGGCCGCGTGCGGGGCAAGGGAGTCGCGCGCGGGTCTCGTGCGGGCAGAGCGCGAGCGGGGCAGCGCGCGGGGCAAGGCGGGTCGCGCGTGGGTCGCACGCTGGGCAGAGCAGTCGCGATCGCGTGGGGCAGGGCGGCACTAGCGGGCAGGGCAGGGCAGCGCTAGCGGGCAGGGGGGGGGGGGGGGGTGGGAGGGGGGGGTCGCGATCGTTAGGGGCTGGGCAGAATTAACGGGCAGGGCAGAACGAACGGTGGGCCCAAAAAAAAAAAAAAAATGGTCCTACGGATCGAACCGCTCTGAAACCATGTCAGAAACTATGAAACATGAATGAGTGTGATTAGCAGGAATGAGGTACAAGTATGAAACCCTAATTGGGTTGTACTCTGTACTGAGTGCCTCACTGTAGCCTAAGAGACCTAAACAACATATGAATATAGTTTGACACGCGGCTCCTACTGCGTGAGCAGTTGCTGCGCGTGGCGATGGCTATGCGCGCGCGACTGTTGGCCGTCGCGTGCTGCTGTGCGGCATGCTTGCTAGCACGCTATTCTGGCTAGCGCGCGCTGATCGGCTGGCTGGCGCTAGTGGCTGACGGAGACGGAGATGGAGGGAGGGAGACAAGCTGGCCGGCGGAGGTACTAGGAGTTAGAGCGGCCTAGGACCTAACCTATGATACTATCTTAGAGGTAGGCAAGCGGAATGGTCTAGACTAGTAGGAGATGTGTAAATGTATGAGAGTCGAGAGAAGTGTTGTACTCTATACTAAGTACCTCACTATAGCCTAACATATATGACAATGATAGAAATATAATTAGACAGTAACACACGAAAGCTAGGTGCGACTCGGGCTTTGCTGTATAAGGTCGAACTTCTATAGTCTACCATTGTTCCTGAGATGTGCTTGATGTGAAAAGTGATGTTGCGGTTTGACCACCAAAAGTCGAGATAGTCGACTAGAGGTCGCAACATTCATTTGTATAAAATCGAATAAAAACATGGAACTTTACAATACACTCTGAAAGACACGCGCCTCTATCGCCGAGCCACAATAAGGTGAATCCGGATATCACAGATTTCCGCTTTGACACCCCTCACACGCGAGCAGAGCCATTACTGTCGGCACATAGGCTCTTTCGTGCCAAGGCGGCTACCTGGGGTGTACCGCGAGTCACGCCTTCGGGATTCCGCCAGCAAGCAGCATGGTCGGCACTGGCATGAACGCGCGTATCATGCGGCATCGGGGGCTTGGGGGACGCAAAGACACCCGAACGGAGCGCAGGTTTCCATTCCAGTTTGAACGCAGATTCGTGGAGCGGCATGACGACGACGCTATTTCCTTTCCCCTTCTCATGCAGGGACTTTTTGAGATTCCTAAAAAAATCCCCGCAGGTAATTCCCACAGCACCGCGCACCTTACAGGGAAAAGCTCCCCCAGTAGCAGCAATGGGGAAGGGGAGCTTTGGCAGAGGGTGATAGGTGAATGCAATGCGGCGGAAAGGCGGGGACTGAGTAACGAATCTCGCTCAGAAGTCGGCGCACATGATTCACGACTCTTCGGACGAGTCCTCTCCCCCAGGGGGCTTCCCAGGCGAGTTTGAGGCCCCTCCCTCAGAGCGGCGGACGCTGACTCGTATGAAGAGTCACAAATCTTCCCAGGGCGTCCCAGCCCGCGCCTCTCCCTTGTCGACGCGCCGCCGCGAGCAGCAGTAGCAAATGCGGAAGAGAGGCGCATGCGGCGCGTCATGAGTCCCGCGGAATTCCCAGTCGACTCAAACACACACGGGAGGGAAAAATGCGCTTGATTCATGAAAGGTAACAACTTCCTTTAGGCCATCCCATCCACTCGCCACTCGCCGTCGCTTCCCCTCCACGGCCCGTGGTGACCGCTGTTCCTACTAAGAGTGCACCTTGCTGGTTCCGCAGTTAAAACACTGGCAGTATTCCCTGCATCCGCAGAGTATCCATACTATTTCTTCGGATATTGCTGGTTCTAGTAAGAGGCTCTACTAAGGATGGCGGAGCGCAGTATAGCTACTACTAGTAGTAGTTCTAGGTTATGGCGGTGCGGGTGGTGCGGCGCACTGGTGCTAGTGCTCTTTCTCGTCCCAAGCCGTTACGGTGACAGCGGCGCGGTTGGGGTGCGCGCGAGCAGAGTGGGAGAGGAGCGACGGATGCAGGCAGATCGGCTGCTGCAGGCCCAAGTGAGAGCCCTTCATTCATGGGATCACTTTAGACTAGAGTCGACTTAAAAATGAGGCATTTTTTAAGGATCCCCAAAAGGAGTGGGCGTCGAGCGACGGAGGCGGGTGGATCGGCTGCTGCAGGCTCAAGTGAGAGCCCTTTATGAATCGATTTAGAGTCCAGAAGCGCCTCGAACTTGCTGCAGGCTCAAGTGAGACAAACAAAAACAAAACAGGAACACAAAGAAACAAACAAACAAAGAAACAGCTGGAGGAATGCCGTATGCGTGGAAACTGGAGTATAGATAGGCCGTTCTAGATAGTATGGAGTACGCCATATGATCATGGTTTGCCGCGGAACGAATCCTCCAGTTCGTTTGGACAGATCATTAGGGTTTCGAGCCCATCTCAGATGATGGTCGAATGGGATCGGATCGGATCCGGTCTGGAGATTCTGTTACTGTGAATTTAACGTTCAAAGATCGGTCATAACATGTGCCTCTCTGTTGCGTGTCCGTTGGATATGCTAGGACGTGCGCTATCTCTCCGTTGCATCCGTTTCAAGACCTACCTTGCTTCATGTTCCTCTGGACGTCGGCTGCTTGCTGTTCTCCTTGCATCATTCTTTCCTTGCTTCCCTTCCATTTGCGTCTTGGGGCGCCATCGTTGCCCTGTTGTTGTTTCCTCTGCACCTCACTGTAGCCCTCACAGCCGTGAGTCATTACGCTGCATGCCTGCCTCCTTTGCGTGCCTCCTTGCATGCCGCGTTTCATGATGTCTCCTCTGTGCTCTCAATCATCAGCTGTTTTTTCCCGCTCTTTCCCTCCTTCCTTACTCCACGTCACCACCAACCAACCAACCAGGTGAACAGTATGCTGGCGTCGCTCAAAAGGAACGCTGACGTGGCGTCTCTGACTCAGAAGCAGACGACATGCTCGTGCTACCGCGTGCGCAATGATTACTGCTGCTACCAGTACATCTGCAAGTGCTCGCCCATGTGCTGGAACGGCTACCAGGTAAATGGGGGTATTAGGTCAATCATCAATGAGGCTTGCATGTCAAAGGCAGTTCATGTGCAAGTGCTCGCCCATGTGCTGGAACGGCTACCAGGTAAACAAGGCTTGTAGGACCGTCAGGCTGTAAGGCTTCAAATGGCATGGCATCACTTTGCATTGCATGGCATCACTTTGCATGGCATCACTTTGCATGGCATCACTTTGCATGGCATAACTTTGCATGGCATCACTTTGCATGGCATCACTTTGCATGGCATCACTTTGCATGGCATCACTTTGCATGGCATCACTTTGCATGGCATCACTTTGCATGGCATAACTTTGCATGGCATCACTTTGCATGGCATCACTTTGCATGGCTTTCAGGTAAATGAGGCTTTAAGTCTGTAAGGTTGTGTGGTTGTCAGGTAATTGCGGCTCTTACTACTGCCATACCGCTTATCAGCACAGTGGTTACCACTATTTTGCTGCCACCACTCCATGTGCAAATGCTCGCCCATGTGCTGCAAGGGCTATGAGGTAAATGCGGCCTCTAAAGGCCATCTAGCTGTGTGGCTAGCCGGCTGTAAGGCCATGAGGTGAATGCGGCTTGTACTGCCATGAGGTGAATGCGGCTTGTACTGCGGCTTGTACTGCCATGAGGTGAATGCGGCTTGTACTGCCATGAGGTGAATGCGGCTTGTACTGCCATGAGGTGAATGCGGCTTGTACTGCCATGAGGTGAATGCGGCTTGTACTGCCATGAGGTGAATGCGGCTTGTACTGCCATGAGGTGAATGCGGCTTGTACTGCTGCCACGTTGCCAACCAACTCAGTGGTCACGACTCACCACTGCTGCCGCCCCTCCATGTGCATTTGCACCGCCTCAACCCGGCCAGCCACCCGTGCTCACCCCTATGGACTGCTTATCCCCAGGCATCCCTCTTCACCCCTCTTAACCCCACCACGCCAGCTGATTTTCCTTGGTCAGCCCAAGTGCGTACCAGCCAGTCCACGCACCTCCTCAACCCGGCCAGCCACCCGTGCTCACCACTGTGGGCTGCTGCTCACTCCCTCTGCCCTCTCTCCCCGCGCCTCTCCTCCCCTGTCCCTCTGCTTTTCCCAATCCCACCAGCATATTTCTCTGGGTCAGCCCAAGTGCACGACAGCAACAGAGCACGCACCTCCCCAATCCGGCCAGCCACCCGTGCCCACTCCCGTGGACTGCTGCTGCTCACTCCCACTGCCCTCTCTCCCCGTGTGGGACGAGTCTGTTTTTGAGTCGACTAAAAAACAGACTCAACCCGGCCAGCCACCCGTGCTCACCCCTGTGGGCTGCTGCTCACTCCCACTGCCCTCTCTCCCCGCGCCTCTCCCCTCTCCCCTCTCCCCTCTCCCCTGCCCCCCTGCCTCTCCCATGCCTGCCAGTTCATCTCTCTGGGTCAGCCCAAGTGCGTGCCAGCAACAGACCAAGCACCTCCCCAACCGGGCCTTGTGACTGACTCTCCCCACACATCCCTCCTCACTCCTCTTAACACCTCCCCACCAGTTCATCTCTCTCGGTCAACCCAAGTGCGCGCCAGCAACAGACCACGCACCTCCCCAACCGGGCCACCCACCCGTGCTCACCCCTGTGAGCTGCTCACAGCAACACACGTTCCGCAACGCACTCTACAGCTTCTTTCCAGAGACCGGCCTGGGCGTGCGGAGTGCAGGGGGAGGGGGAGGTGGTAGGGGGGGCGGAGGGGAGGGCGGAGAGGGGGGCGGAGGGGAGGGCGGAGAGGGGGGCGGAGGGGGAGGTGGGGAAGGGTGGTTGCGGAGCCGTAGCGGGGTGGACTGGCGGTTTGGGCAGACGATGCTGCAGACGTTGAACAACAGCGAGACCAACATCGCACACTTCTCTCGTAAGTGGGGTGGGGTGGGGGTACCATTGGTGGTGGGGGTACCATTGGTGGTGGGGGTACCATTGGTGGTGGGGGTACCATTGGTGGTGGGGGTACCATTGGTGGTGGGGGTACCATTGGTGGTGGGGGTACCATTGGTGGTGGGGGTACCATTGGTGGTGGGGGTACCATTGGTGGTGGGGGTACCATTGGTGGTGGGGGTACCATTGGTAGTGGGGGTACCATTGGTGGTGGGGGTACCATTGGTGGTGGGGGTACCATTGGTGGTGGGGGTACCATTGGTGGTGGGGGTACCATTGGTGGTGGGGACATGACATCTGAGTCTCTGAGTCGCTTATAAGCCTCCCCGCTTTGGACTGATGATGTTCAGCAAGGGCGAGACCTGCATCGCACACTACTCTGGTGCATGGGGTGCGGTGAGGTGGGGTGGGGGTACCATTGGGGGTACCATTGGGGGTACCATTGGGGGTACCATTGGGGGTACCATTGGGGGTACCATTGGGGGTACCATTGGGGGTACCATTGGGGGTACCATTGGGGGTACCATTGGGGGTACCATTGGGGGTACCATTGGTGGTACCATTGGGGGTACCGTTGGGGGTACCGTTGGGGGTACCATTGGGGGTACCATTGGGGGTACCATTGGGGGTACCATTGGGGGTACCATTGGGGGTACCATTGGGGGTACCATTGGTGGTACCATTGGGGGTACCATTGGGGGTACCGTTGGGGGTACCATTGGGGGTACCATTGGGGGTACCATTGGTGGTACCATTGGGGGTACCATTGGGGGTACCATTGGGGGTACCATTGGGGGTACCATTGGTGGTGGGGACATGACATCTGAGTCTCTGAGTCGCTTATAAGCCTCCCCGCTTTGGACTGACGATGTTCAGCAAGGGCGAGACCAACATAGCACACTACTCTGGTGGGTGGGGTGCGGGTTTATTGGTGGTAACAGCTTCACGGCACCCGCTGCTCTGCTCTGCTCTGCTCTACTCTGCTCTTCAACCTCCCCTCCTTCCTGCCACCCAACCTCCCAACCTCGTTTACTGCAGTGAACGTCCTTACCCGAATGGTCCTTACCCTCTCTGCAGCGCCGTAAAGTTGTTGGCCAAGAAATTCACAGCGTCCTTACCCTGTCGCTCGCCTTACCTTGTCACTCGCCTTACCCTGTCACTCGCCTTACCCTGTCACTCGCCTTACCTTGTCACTCGCCTTACCCTGTCACTCGCCTTACCCTGTCACTCGCCTTACCCTGTCGCTCGCCTTACCCTGTCGCTCGCCTTACCCTGTCGCTCGCCTTACCCTGTCGCTCGCCTTACCCTGTCACTCGCCTTACCCTGTCGCTCGCCTTACCCTGTCGCTCGCCTTACCCTGTCGCTCGCCTTACCCTGTCGCTCGCCTTACCCTGTCGCTCGCCTTACCCTGTCGCTCGCCTTACCCTGTCGCTCGCCTTACCCTGTCGCTCGCCTTACCCTGTCGCTCGCCTTACCCTGTCGCTCGCCTTACCCTGTCGCTCGCCTTACCCTGTCGCTCGCCTTACCCTGTCACTCGCCTTACCCTGTCACTCGCCTTACCCTGTCGCTCGCCTTACCCTGTCACTCGCCTTACCCTGTCGCTCGCCTTACCCTGTCACTCGCCTTACCCTGTCACTCGCCTTACCCTGTCACTCGCCTTACCCTGTCGCTCGCCTTACCCTGTCGCTCGCCTTACCCTGTCGCTCGCCTTACCCTGTCGCTCGCCTTACCCTGTCGCTCGCCTTACCCTGTCGCTCGCCTTACCCTGTCGCTCGCCTTACCCTGTCGCTCGCCTTACCCTGTCGCTCGCCTTACCCTGTCGCTCGCCTTACCCTGTCGCTCGCCTTACCCTGTCACTCGCCCTACCCTGTCATTCGCCTTACCCTGTCGCTCGCCTTACCCTGTCACTCACCTTACCCTGTCGCTCGCCTTACCCTGTCGCTCGCCTTACCCTGTCACTCGCCTTACCCTGTCACTCGCCTTACCCTGTCACTCGCCTTACCCTGTCACTCGCCTTACCCTGTCGCTCGCCTTACCCTGTCACTCGCCTTACCCTGTCACTCGCCTTACCCTGTCACTCGCCTTACCCTGTCACTCGCCTTACCCTGTCACTCGCCTTACCCTGTCACTCGCCTTACCCTGTCGCTCGCTTTACCCTGTCGCTCGCCTTACCCTGTCGCTCGCCTTACCCTGTCGCTCGCCTTACCCTGTCGCTCGCCTTACCCTGTCACTCGCCCCGCCCTGTCGCTCGCCTCACCCTGTCACTCGCCTCACCCTGTCACTCGCCTTACCCTGTCACTCGCCTTACCCTGTCGCTCGCCTTACCCTGTCGCTCGCCTTACCCTGTCGCTCGCCTTACCCTGTCACTCGCCTTACCCTGTCGCTCGCCTTACCCTGTCACTCGCCTTACCCTGTCACTCGCCTTACCCTGTCACTCGCCTTACCCTGTCACTCGCCTTACCCTGTCACTCGCCTTACCCTGTCACTCGCCTTACCCTGTCACTCGCCTTACCCTGTCACTCGCCTTACCCTGTCACTCGCCTTACCCTGTCACTCGCCTTACCCTGTCACTCGCCTTACCCTGTCACTCGCCTTACCCTGTCACTCGCCTTACCCTGTCACTCGCCTTACCCTGTCACTCGCCTTACCCTGTCACTCGCCTTACCCTGTCGCTCGCCTTACCCTGTCCCTCGCCTTACCCTGTCGCTCGCCTTACCCTGTCGCTCGCCTTACCCTGTCGCTCGCCTTACCCTGTCGCTCGCCTTACCCTGTCACTCGCCTTACCCTGTCGCTCGCCTTACCCTGTCGCTCGCCTTACCCTGTCACTCGCCTTACCCTGTCACTCGCCTCACCCTGTCACTCGCCTTACCCTGTCACTCGCCTTACCCTGTCACTCGCCTCACAGTGTCGCTCTCTCCCCTCTCCCTTGCAGAGAAGGTCTTTACACTGCTCCTGGCCAACAACGTCACGGCACCAGCGGCGCTGCAATCCACTGTCACTCACTTTTACATTAATCACGCTACCCCAACCTCCCTCTCTCCTCCCTCCCCCCTCCCCTTTCCTCCCAACTGCAGAGAAGGTCTTTACACTGCTCCTGGCCAACAACGTCACGGCGCCCGCTGCGCTGCAATCCACTGTGTGACTCACTCTGGCAACAGTCATGCTACCCCAGCTTCCCTCTCTCCTTCCCACCCCTTGCTTACTCCCAACCAACCTCCCTTGCTCCTAACCAACTCTCCTTTGCAGAGAAGGTCTTCACACTGCTCCTGGCCAGCAACTTGCTTCATGCCTTGAGGGATGTTGCCCTTCTCACCCTGTCACTCTGTCCTCTCTGTCCTGTTCATCCGCCCTGCTCACACAGAGAAGGTCTTTACACTGCTCCTGGCCAACAACTTCATGGCACCAGCTGCGCTGCAATGCACTGTGACTCACCTTGACATTAATCACGCTACCCCAACCTCCCTCTCTCCTCCCTCCCCCCTCCCCTTTCCTCCCAACTGCAGAGAAGGTCTTCACACTCCTCCTGGCCAACAACTTCACGGCGCCCGCTGCGCTGCAATCCACCGTGAATCGCCTCATGCTGCCTCGCTCACCACAGTTCATTGAACGGTGAGCAGCGCTGTAAAACTCGCTGCGCGGTGAGCAGCGCGGGGAGTGCGGTGAGGCGAGCAGTGTGGGAATTGTGGCTTTTGAGGCGCCGCAAAACTCGTTTCATGCTGCCTTGCAAAGGGATGATCATTGAGCGATGAGCAGCGCAGGGAGTGTGACTGTTGAAGCGCCTCAAAACTCGCCTCAAACTCGCCTCAAACTCGCCGCAAAACTCGTTTCATGCTGCCTTGCAAAGGGATGATCATTGAGCGATGAGCAGCGCGGGGAGTGTGACTGTTGAAGCGCCTCAAAACTCGCCTCAAACTCGCCTCAAACTCGCCGCAAAACTCGTTTCATGCTGCCTTGCAAAGGGATGATCATTGAGCGATGAGCAGCGCAGGGAGTGTGACTGTTGAAGCCCCTCAAAACTCGCCTCAAACTCGCCTCAAACTCGCCGCAAAACTCGTTTCATGCTGCCTTGCAAAGGGATGATCATTGAGCGATGAGCAGCGCGGGGAGTGTGGCAAGGTGAGCAGAGTGGGGACTGTCGCAAGATGAGAAGCTGTGGCCGGATCATGACACAACGAAAAGTCAACAACTGAGGGGTGCAGCTGCAATAACGTGAACAACTGAGGGGCGCAGCTGCAATAATGGGAACAGCCCTAAACCTTTTTGGTCCTTCGATCCACCTGATGCTCAGAATGCGAACGATGGGTGCAGATTCCATGTTCGCTCAGCTGTTGAGTCGACTCAAAAGTCATGAACAGTTTTTGGACCTCCCACGATCCGTCCTTCCATCCACACAATGTGTGCAGAATTCGAACGATGGGTGCAGACTCCATGTTCGCTCGGGTGATGCAGGCCATGATCGAATTCGCCGTCACGCCGCTGCTCTCCCCCCGCATGCACAACTCTCTGGAACTGTACGTACGTTACTCTGCTCATGGTGTTGATTCGAAAACAAAGCAAGCACACACGGGAAGATCACACTCAACTAGATCATCACACTCGCCTGACTTTTTCACTTGAGGTTCCCGTCACGCCGCGCCTCTTTCCTTTCCGTCCACAACTGTACGGTGTTGATTCGAAAGCAAAGCAAGCACACAAGGGAAGGTCACACTCAACTAGGTCATTGCACTCGCACGACTTGTCGCCCCCATGGAATTCGGGCAGGAGGGTGGCTTTAATGCATCTCATTGACAGACACTCCCTGCTTTTCTCTTCAACCCCCTCCACGCCATCCTCGATCACAGGACTCGGGGAGACGCCCCTATGGCGTTCGGGTTGGTTGAGAGACGCCCCTATGGTGTTCGGGTTGGTTGGTCCATTGCATCCCACAGACACTCTCTTCTTTTCTCCCCCGTCCTCACTCCACAAGAAAGCACTCTTCCCCCCACCAGCACCACCAGCCTCGCTCACAGGACTCCAAGAGACGCCCCATGCACCATGCCCCATGGTGTCTCGTAACGCTCATAGACACTCACAGACCCTCTCTTCTTTTCTTCCCCCTCCTTCTCACTCTTGCGACCAACCACACACCACCACCAGCAGCCTCGCTCACAGGACGCTGGGGAACGCCCCATGACCTTCGGACTAGTTGAGTTTGTATGAACGCATCTCATAAAGTCTCTCTTCTTTTCTCCGTCCCGTTCTCTCACGCCCTCTCTCCCCCTACCACCAGCCTCGCTCACAAGACCCTGGGGGACACACCCGTGGCATTCGGGCTGGTGGAATTCGAATCCGCATGGAACGCTGCCACTGAAGACCGCCCTCTCTGCTTCGAAAGCCTCCTCCTGCCGGGCATCTTCAAGGGAGTGGCCTTCCCGTCCCACCCCGACCAAGCCACCTACCTGGACCGGCACCTGAGGATCAAGCTGGGGTTGAAGCCTCCAGAGAAAATGGTGTGGGGGGCGGATGGGGTGAAGGGGTGGCGGCCGCGGGTGCTGTATATCACGCGGCTGGGGGCGGAGTTGCACGGCCGACGGTGCTTTGTGCCGAGAGCCATGAGGCGCTGCTGAGGCTCATGGAGGATTTGGGTTTTCAGGTGGGTTTCAGGTGGGCTTCAAGTGGGTTTCAGGTGGGTTTCAGGTGGGGTTTAGTTGGTTCAGGTGCGTTTCAGGTGCATTTCAGGTGTCAGACAATTGTGTGGGAGGGGTTAGAAGGTCATTATGCAAATTTAGCCAAGTGAGTAGTTCCAGGTGGTTTTAGGTGCATTTCAGGTGAGGCAGGTTTAAAGGTGGTTCTCTGATAAGTCCCGAGTAGTAGGCATTGCCCTGTATTGATGTCTCGAGTTGTTTGAAAGCCCTGTATTTTTTTAAACGATTGTTCCAGACTGTCGCTAGAAGATACACATACTGAATTGTTATAACTACTGTAGTACTTTTTTTTAAACCAAAAAACACTCAATAACGGGCTTGATCCAGAGACGGCAAGCCCTAATGCACCAAAAGTAAGGTGGGCCCTAGTAACACCTGTGGTTACATGTCCACCTTTTCATTATGCCCGTTTCTCATATTCTCATGATCATCGTCTTCCTTCAGTCTTCCCCATCATCCATCCGCACACGCCCCTTCATCCATCCGCAGACGCCCCTTCTCCAAATGGCGTTCCTCTTTAAACTTCTTCCTCTTCTTTTTCCTCTTCCAAATTTTTGTCTTCCCCACTCATCCAGATCATATGGCATGCCTCGTCCAACTCTTTTCCTTCCATCCATTTGCACATGCTGTTTCTCCATGTGACCATGGTCCACATGGGTCACCTCACATTCCTCTTTCAACGTCTTCCTCTTCTGCTCTTCTGGTCTTCCCCCCTCATCCCTCCACCCATGCTTCTTCTCCAGGTGACCATGGTCGAGATGGGTCACCCATCTGACGTTCCGGCAGCAGTTCGAAGCGATTCAATCAGCCGACATCATCATATCCCTCCACAGCGCTTCCTTCATGAACGTGCCCCTCTTCCCCTTAATCCATCCTCGTACCTGCTTCTTCTCCAGGTGACCATGGTCGAGATGGGTCACCTGACATTCCGCCAGCAGTTCGAAGCCATTCAATCGGCCGACATCATCATCTCCCTCCACAGCGCTTCATTCATGAACGTGCCTCTCTTCGCCCGCCGCAACGTCGTCGTGATTGAAATCATGCCCTACAAGGTCACTCACGAGCTGTACTACTCGCTAATGCTCAACTCCGGCATGCCGTATTTCGTCAAGATGTGCCGCAAAGGGGACGAGCAGGAGGGCGACGCAGAATTCAAAGATCTGAGCCATTTCGATTGCATGCGCAAGCACGCAGCATGTAAGCAGCACCATGTTCACTTCCGGCGCGTGAAACTCACGGACCGGGATCTACAGGAGTTGAAAACGATGCTCATGGTGGCAAAGGGTGTGGCTGGCGCGAGCTTGGGGGCTTTTGGGAGGGAGATTCAGCCTAAGGAGCTGCCAGGGTGGGCAGAAGAAAAGTTCAAGGATGTGTGTGTTGCCCGAGATGTGGATTCGTCTGGACCGCGGAATGAAATTTTACGGGTGCCCAAGCCAGGTAAGGCGGACGAGGATTTTATATGTGTGTTTTCAAGGGATGATCGTGATGATGCATGACATTGGCTAGAACCGCTAGCGCCAGGATAGCAGATCTACATGTCTGTAAGAGAACAACTTTTCCTTCGCGTCACACAACATACCGTGTACAGGTCTATTCCCGCCACTGTACACCCAAATGTTGCATATGTTTGGTAGGCTATAGTGAGGCATGCATACGGGGTACAACTGTTTTAGGGTTATGTTTCTATAGCTCAACCCATGCTAATCGCATCATTCTGCCTGCACTTTGAGATGGTATCACGAGTAGGAACACGTTCCTATCCTACACTCTCCTTGCCCCGCCCCTTAGTAGGCCGCTGCGCGTCCCGCGCTGCCCGCCGCGCGCTACCCGCCACTTGCGCTGCCCCATCCCGCACTGCCTGCCCCGCGCTACCCGCCCCGTCCCGCACGCTGCCCGCCTCGTCCCGACACGAGCAGCAGCAGCCGCGCGCGCAGCCACACATGCGCGCGTGCACGCGCTGCAGCAGTTGCGCGCGCAGCAGTCAGCCGCACGCACGGCAGCCGCCATGTGCGCAGCTGCGCACGCGCACAGCGGCACGCGCGCAGCTGCACACGCACCAGCAGCCGCGCGCGCGCCTTCAGCCGCACGCGCAACAGCAGCCCGACGCGCAGTGGCAGCTGCACGCGCACCTGCAGCCACGCGCGCAGCAGCAGCCACACGAGCAGCGGCAACCGCACGCACAGCATCAGCCGCACGTGCAGCCGCAACCGCACCTACAGCAACAACCGCCCATACACCACCTACCGTGCCAGCAGCTGCAGCCTCCCTCCCACCCGTTCCTGCTCTCTCACCACGCCTCCTACCATAGGCGTTCCTGTCAAATGTTGTAGCCTGTAGTGAGGCATGTCATGTGGGGTACAATTGTTAGTGTTGGAAGTGGGCACTGGAACGGCCCGAAGTGGTCTCCCCAAGGGCTACAGGTGTCGTCCTGGGGGGGTATGGGTGCGCTGACCCACCAAGGAAACATGCCCTTTTAACCCAGCTGGTTAGCGAACTGGAATGCTATCCCTGCATGGTGCGGTGAGCGTGGAGGACCGGGGTTAAATTCCCGCTGTCGGCGACTTCCTGTGCCCTAGTGGTGGGCCCTCCTAGTGAGAGGAGTGTTGGAAGTGGACACTGGAACGGCCCGAAGTGGTCTCCCCAAGGGCTACAGGTGTCGTCCTGGGGGGGTATGGGTGCGCTGACCCACCAAAGAAACATGCCCTTTTAACCCAGTTGGTTAGCGAACTGGAATGCTATCCCTGCAGTTAGGGTTAGGTATATGTACCCCAACTCACAGTAATACATGATCATTCCGTTTCTGACATGGTATCACCTATGTTAGGATCCTGTTGGATCCCGTTCCTCCCGCTTGACCCGCTCGCGCCCGTTGCGCCTAGCCTACCACGCCCGTAGCGCCCTACCGTCGCGCCCGTACCGTCCCCTCACGTCCGTCGTGCCCGTCCTGTCCCGTCCCCTCGCGCCCGTCGCGCCTCCCTGCCCGTCGCGTCGCGCCCTGCCCGTCCCGTCGCGTCGCGCCCTTCCCGTCCCGTCCCCTCGCGCCCGTCGTGCCTCCCTGCCCGTCGCGTCGCGCCCTGCCCGTCCCGTCGCATCGCGCCCTGCCCGTCCCGTCGCGTCGCGCGCGTCGCGCCTCCCCGCCCGTCGTGTCGCGCCCTGCCCGTCCCCATCAGCTAGAGTTTCCTCCGCCAAACTAAGACGTGGCAGCAGTAGCTCCCTCCCCTCCGCATCAGCTATGGCGACGCCTAGGGTCCTGCGCTTTGATGCCGAGGGTAGGCCGCTGGAGTTCTCTGTCTTGCTCCTCCGTGCGCAGCACCTGCTAGAGAGTCAGTGTCAGGCTGACGAGTCCCTCTGGGCGCACGCCTCCGGTGACCTTCTCGCGCCCTCTGCTCCTGAACTTCTAGGCGCTGACCCCACCACTGCGGACAGAGAGCGCTTTGCACGTCAGCGCGCTGCCCTGACAGCCTGGAAGTCGCGCGACGCCGCGGCCTGCATCGCCCTCAGCAGCCTCCTCCCTGAGTCTGAGGAGACCCACTTCACCCAGGTTCGCACTGCTAGCGAGTTCCTGACTGCGATCAAGGCCCGCTGCTCCACTCCCACCACAGTCTCTCTTGGTCGCATGTTCCTCCTGTTCCTATTTCCTGACCTCGCCTTGTTTGAGCGTTCTGCTGACCTGATCGCACACCTGCGTTCGCTGGATTCTAACTACCGCGCTGCCTGCACTGATGCACAGCTTGCTCTGCTCCCCCCCCCCATGGCGATTACTATTTATTTTATCGTCACTAGCCTCCCTGACCGCCTTGCCACAGTTCGCGACGCGCTTCTTCTGAAGCATCCTAGCGAGCTCACTATCGAGGTCCTTGAGTCTGCACTCAGGGACGTTGAGAGCAACCTCCGCTCGGTAGCCTCCGCCTCTGGCACTGAGCCCCCCCCACTGTTCCACGGGTGCACTGTCCCACAGCTACCCACCTTTACTGCCTCCCTCACCGCTACCGCTACTGACGAGACCGCGTCTGCTGTCACGACTTCTGTGCGGTCTAGAGTTAGGAGTGGCAGGAGGGGCGGAGGTGGCGGAGGTGGCGTGGCGAGTGGCGGTGGCGGGAGTGCATGTGTTGGTGGAGCGCCTCGTGCAGCTTCTAGTGGCTCCCCTGCTGCAGCTGGTGGAGGTGACGCTCGGGTTCGTCAGGCACCTGCGGGGCTGCCAGCTGCAGGTGCTGGGGTGGCGGCCTGGTACCTGGCTCAGCAGCAGCGGCAGCAGCAACAACAGCAGCAGCAGCAGCAGCAGCAGCAGCAGCAGCAGCAGCAGCAGCCACAGCAGTAGCAGGGGCAGCAGCAGGTTCAGCGGCACGGGTCAGGACCGCGTCAGCTGTTGCGTGGTGACGCCCACCCACCCTGCCCCTACCTCATCCAGACAGGTACTCGCAGTGGCCTCCGCTGCGACCGCCGTCACCCACCAGGTCAGTGCTTTGCTCAGCTCACTGACAGACTTCGAGCGGCCTACGGCGCAGACGGCCCTGCCCCTGACTGGCTTCCCCTTGTTCTCTCGCACGGTCCCGCACTGTGGGACATGTCTGCTTCTCAGTTACTTGAACTCTTAGGAACTGCCAATGCTATGTATGCTGTTGTTGACTCTAGTGCTTCTGACTCCGTTTGCTCGCGTGTTTTTAGCTTAGGTGCTAGTGTTGATCCTGTGCCAGTTGCTAGTAGAGGTGTTTGTGTAGGCGCTAGTCCAGGTGCCACTTCGGCAGACGCGTCACTGTCTTTCACGCTGGACTCTGGTGCGTCGCACTGTTTCTTCCGCGACCACATGACTCTTACTCCGCTTCATGCACCGGTCTCTGTCGCACTGGCTGATCCCACTTCTGGACCAGTCATTGCTCACCACTCTACTACGCTTCCGTGCCCGGCTGTTCCCTCGGGTTCTCTGACGGGCCTCCACATCCCCTCGTTCTCTAGGAACTTGGTGGGTGTGCGGTCGCTCGTGAGTCAGCACGTTGGTGCTTGGTTTGAGCCTTCTGAGGACTCTGCGACCTGTGTGGGCGGTGACACGTACGCCCCCCTGGCCACCTTTCGCAAGGAGCCGGGTTTTGGTCTCTACACGCTTCACGCTGGCCCCCGAGAGAGGCAGCAGCAGCAGCAGCTTCTGCTGCCTCCGACCCCTGTCACTGCCCCCCGTCAGGTCCCACCGTCCCACCAGGTAGCTGTGTCTGGTCAGGTTACGGCGTCTGGTCAGGTCGCTGCTTCTTGCTCGTGTCGGTCGCTTGCCCACCCCACCGTTCTGTGGCACCACCGTCTTGGTCACCCGTCCCTTCCTCGCCTTCGCACTATGTCTAGTCAGCGTCTTGTCTTAGGCCTCCCACGAGTCTTGCCGTCGCTGCCGCCTTCGCCTGCACCACCTTGCGGCCCTTGTGTCGAGAGTCGGCTGCGCGCCACCCCTCACTCCTCCTCCCTTCGTCCGGCCACCGAGCCCTTCAAGACTCTCCACTTGGACGTCTGGGGCCCCGCCTCTCGCCCCGGTCCTGAGCGAGAGAGTTTCTTTCTGGTGGTCGTCGACGACTACTCTCGCTACACCACCGTTTTCCCTTTGGCGAAGAAGTCTGACGTGACTTCTACGCTGATCTGGTGGTTGCTCGCCATAGAGGGTACTCGTCACCGTCGTGTCAGTTGTCTTCACTCCGACCGTGGGGGTGAGTTTCGCTCCGGCGTTCTTGCAGGATTCTGTCGCGAGCAGGGCATCCTCCAGTCTTGGACGCTTTCAGCGGCCCCACAGCAGAATGGGGTTGCTGAGCGCCGCATAGGCTTGGTCATGGAGATTGCACGCACGTCCATGATCCACGCCCGTGCGCCCCATTTTCTGTGGCCCTACGCGGTTCGGTACGCCGCTCACCAGCTGAACCTCTGGCCACGTGTCTCCCGGCCAGGGGTTTCACCGACCAGTCTTTGGACCGGGTCCCCTGAAGTTGCGTCGCGTTTTCGTGTCTGGGGCTGCTTGGTGCTTGTTCGCGACACCTCCGCGGACAAGCTCTCCCCTCGCGCTCTTCCCTGTGTTTTCCTTGGTTTCCCAGAGGACGCCTCTGACTTCACCTTCTACCACCCTCCCCTTCACCGGTTCCTTGACTCCCGTGACGTCCGTTTTGATGAGTCAGTCCCCTACTACACCCGGTACCCCTGTCAAGGTCTCCCGGTTCCTCCTCCCCCTCTCTTCCTGACTCCCACTCCCCATCCCGCTCCTCTGGTACAGCCTCCCCCCCCTGGTCCAGCCCTGTCAGGTGTGTCACACGCTACCCCCCCCCCCTCGGTAGCCCCTCAGGTCCCGTCCCCTTCTCCGCAGTCCTCCTCACAGTCACCGCAGCAGCCGTCAGCACTTCCTCCACAGGCTGCTGCAGATCCTGAGGGTGCAGGTGTCCGAAGCGCGGACCCTGGAGGTGCTACCTCTGGAGGTGTTGGAGTTGGAGCTGAGAGTGTGCCTGCACGAGGTTCTGGTACTGGGGGTGCTGGAGTTGGAGCTGAGCCCGTGTCTGCAGGAGGTTCTAGTCTTCGGGGAGCTGGTGTTAGTCGAGCTATCCCTGGGGGTGCTACGACTGGGTGCGGGTGCGCCCTTCGCTGGACCTGGAGAGCCTGGGACTGGCCGCGTCGCTGCTGGCTCTGGGGGTGGTGCGACTGGTGCTTTGGAGAGCGGTCCTGGGGCTACCACCGCCCCGGACACTACTCCTCCCCCCGACCCCTACCCGACCAAGCACCAGGCATTCTTCGCCGTGCACGTGAGGAGCAGCCGGAGTTGGAGCGAGAGAGGCTAGCGTTGGAGCGGCAGCAGCTGGAGGAGCAGCAGCAGCAGCAGCAAGAGGAGCAGCAGCTGCCGCAGCAGGAGCAGCAGGAGCAGCAGCAGCCGCCACAGCAGGAGCAGCAGGAGCAGCTGCGGCCGCAGCAGCAGCAGGAGCCGCAGCAGCAGGAGCAGCGGCCGCCTACGCCTCCTGTCTCTGGCCTTCGGGCCCTTGGTCTCCCCTCCTCTTCTCCTCCCTCCTCTCCCTCTCCTCCTGTCTACGGTCCCACGTTTTCTCCTCCTGACTCCACCCCGGCTGTTTTCCCCCGTTCTCAGACTCCGTTGTCCCCTCCTCTTTCTCACACTTGGGCTTCTCGCTCTCCTCATGCTCGTCCCTCGTCCCCTGTTCCCGTCCTGTTTCGTTCTAGCTCCCCTCGTCCGTCTCCGTCTGTGCTTCCTTTTCCCCCTGAGTCGGCCCTTACTGCTTCCCTCTCTACTCCTGTCACTGACTACTACCGCACGTACCGTCCTGTTCTCTCTCGTGTTCTCAC